CAACCAAAAGAAACAAACACCTCCCACATAGAGGCGCTAGATCAAGCCCCTGTCTGGGTTTAACCGTTCCCAGAAGCCTTGTAAATTCAATACCTAAAACCCAACTTTAAGAAACCCAAAAGTCACTTTGTGAAGTCTCTTGGAGGACTCCTTTCGTCTCTTCCCAAAGACTTCGGCGAGCTTGTGGGTGTCTTGACTCAACTCCATTTGGGCTTAGGGGTTAGTGCGTAGGGGCTTCATATAGAGTCAAGAAGCCTGGGTGGATGGTGATCCTATTCCTTACTAGGGTTCCTGATTACATTTTTCGCATGCCTTACCCCCAAACCGTACTCTAATCATTACCGCCCCCCATGAGGGTTGAACAAGTTCGGGGCATTGGGCGTTTCAAGGTTGCAAGTGTCAAGCATTCGGGGGTTAGGGATTTGGGGTTTCGGCGCTTTGTGCTTCATAGCATGTGTCTGATTCGCTCACTGTAAAGGACGGCGAGATATCAAGTTGCAAGGACATTGATCGTTAAGAAGCCTGAAGCCCTAAACTAAATCATACCCCTTTGTCGGATATGGGTCTTTGTTTAAACAACTCTCTCTCTCTATATATATATATATGCTGTAATCTTGCTAAACCTAAGATGATCGAGCCCTAAACCTCCAGACCTTTCAGACTCCGTTATGTTTAATGCCTACAGGTGATTACTAGTTGTAATAGGTCTTCTGGTCGTATTATAGAATTATCGTATAGCTACGCAGGGATTCGAACTATTCAGACCTCCATGTTGACACAGGAGTACACCTTGGTGGTTGCTGTCGGAATCTAAGAGACCTGTAATCAGGCCGGTCGTAGTACATGCAGCCTAGTATTCACGGGAGAACGTGAGCGTTACGTACTTGGACCCTTAGTTTTCGTTTAGCAGGAGCCCTCATCAGGAGTTTGGGGGCATTCCTAAGGTGATACACGAGGCAGTCCTGGAAAAGTGTGGGTTTAGAGTTTAGGATTTCGGGTGTAGCACAGTGTAACATTGCAAGATCTGGGCCAGGGATTTGTGATTTTATTTACAGTCTACAACCCACCTATAGTCTCCATTGTAGTTCCTTTTTTTGGATAACCAAAATCTCTATTATAGGATCCTAACCATAAACCTGGTTAACCAAAAAAGGAACCACAATTGAGACTATAGGTACAACCCATGGACCTAGTTCCGGGAACCTCAACCTCGCCCCTTGGGCTCAAAGCAGCGAGGATCCGAACAGGCTGGATCTTACCTTTGGTTAGTAGGGAATGGAGGAATGGTAGTAATAGAAATTAGAAATGTACCCCATTCCTCCATTCCCTACTAACCAAAGGTAAGCTGTAGGTCCACAAACATAGAGGAGCACCTTTTTGCCCTTTCTGTTTTAGGCTCCCCTTATTAAAACTCAATCTTCGGAAAAAGGCCGTTCATTATAAAGTGGCTACCCAAAAACCTCAACCCAAAACCCTACAAACCCCTTATAGATCCCTTAAAGGAGCCCTATCCCTTAGAGATCCCTTAAAGGAGCCCTATCCCTTAGAGATCCCTTAAAGGAGCCCTATCCCTTATGGATCCCTTAAAGGAGCCCTATTCCTTAGAGATCCCTCAAAGGAGCCCTATCCCTTAGAGATCCCTTAAAGGAACCCTGGGTATTCCTTAGTTAGATGAGTCTTCGGAGCCTCAAGGGCGAGCCTTGCCACTCGAAAGTCTCATCCTAGTGACTGAAGACTCCGCTTTAGGGTTTTGGGGTTTTGGGGGTTTAGGGTTTAAGGGTTTAAGGGTTTTAGGGTTTTAGGGTTTAGGGTTTTAGGGTTTTAGGGTTTTAGGGTTTTAGGGTTTTAGGGTTTCAGGGTTTTAGGGTTTTAGGGTTTCAGGGTTTAAGGGTTTAGGGTTTTAGGGTTTTTTAGGGTTTTAGGGTTTAGTGTTTAGTGTTTTAGGGTTTTTTAGGGTTTTAGGGTTTAGGGTTTAGGGTTTAGGGTTTTAGGGTTGTAGGGTTTTAGGGTTTTAGGGTTTGGGGGTTTACGGTTTAGGGGTTTTGGGGTCCTTTCCCACAGAAAACGGACCCCTAAATACGGTTGATCATATTTATATACTGCATTGCGTTCATGATCCTAGACTATGGGAATTATGGTATATTCCTCATAATGGGTAATGCTGGATTTAGATCATCAGCCGTAGGATGTCCCTCGTTTGACGATTCTTTCTCAGGTCCCAGGACAGTGGGTTCCGTAGCCCCAGCCGAGGCAGTAGAGGAACCTCACGAATGAGTAGGAAAGGCGCCTGCTTATTCCCTCAAGCATGATATGGGGGATTCCGAAAATAGGGGGTGCCTTATTTGGGGGTCCTTGTAATAAGCACCCTACTCTTTAGGGTACTATATTAGGGTCCCCTACTTTCGGGAACTCCCATATTGAACCTTGTCATGCAGACGCCTCAAAGCCCGAAACCTTGCAACCCCTCCACTGGAGCTCGAGGAGGGCACCGTCGATGGCCAGCAGCAGTCGTGGGTGCTCGCCATGGACACCTTGGGGTATTCTCAAAATCCAGATACCTCGGTAATGCCCTCTATAGTCTCCTTAGGAATTGTTTTTCATTTTTGTTCATATAAAACCCAAGAGGCTATTAAAAACAATCTTTTTATTACGGTTCTAAGGGGGGGTATAGCCCTGAGATGAAGGATACACTTCTCGCCTCAGGATCCAAAGCCCTTTCTTTACAAGACATTTAAACACCAAGACCTTACCATTCCGGCTGGTCTTGCTGTTTTTGAGCCCTGGGATAACCGATTCAGAGTTCATGGCCCGACTGGCTTAAGATCATGTACTATAGAGGCCTAAAGAATTACCAATACTGTTTTGGGGGCTCCTTATCACAAGTATAGTAGGGCCCCAAAACCCTATTCTATTTTTTCAGGCCCCTGCATTATAGTACCTTAGTACCCTACTTATAGATCCCTTACGGAACCCTTTTAAGGATCTCTCTTTGTGGAACCCTGAATTTGGGACTTGGGTCGAGGCTTTGTACCAACCACTCCTTTCATCATCTTGGGTCGGCATTTTTCAGAGATTGGGGCTGAGACTTCCTCTCGAAGCCCAGAACTCTCGAACCCACAAGTTGAGACTCTTCGGGTTTGGGCTCAGGGTTTAGGGTTTATGTGGGATTATTAGGGTTCAAGGTTTATAAGGTTTAGTTCTTAGGGTTTACGTGAGTCTAGGTTTCAAGGCTGATATGGTTCAGGGTATGTGTCTGCATCCGTCAAGGACGCAGATGGCTGTCCCAGCGCCTTCGGTGCTGCTCGCAGCCTGCATCGAACAGTGGATAGGGCTTTGCTCCAAGTCAGGGCTTCGGGGGGTTTAGAGTTTAGGATTTGTGGCATGCCCCATACTCCTCAGTCAACGCATATTTTGAATCGCTTTGCTCAGTTACCCTAAACCCTATACCCTAAAACCGAAGCCCTAAACTCTAAACTCTGAAACCTAAACCCTGAACCCTAAACCCTAAGCCCTAAACCTTCTAAGGGGGAGTGAAGCCCAAAGCGCCTTCCCAAAGCCTCGATGGGAGGTGTCGGCCCAGATGGGACCCGACCGCATGGCCTTCGCCTGTGTGGAACCCAGCTTCGAAGTTGGAGTTGTTGAATATCATGGGGACAGTATGATTAAAATGGGGTTTGGGATTCTAACTTGACATGAACATAATAAAGAACCTATTCGGAATGGTATTGGTACTGCTGCCGACAGGACGGATTAGGAACCCTCTAAAAGGAACCATGAAAAGACTTCATTTGATAGTACTTTTGTCAGGGAATCCTTTTAGGGACGCTTCCACGAACCGTTATAGGAACCTTTTAGTACCACGCCCGATTCTCTGAACCCTAAGTTCAAAGACCAGGATGCTTATGGAAATCCCACCCGGCATACACGGTAACGGTATATCCTGAAGAATCCTAGAGCTCAACCCCGACCCCCGGGCACCCCTAAACCCCAAACCCTCGACGGTTTGGGTTTTGTTTCTTGCCTGCTGGGAATTTCCGAAAATAGGGGACCCTCGTATAGTACCCTAACCAGTAGGATCCTCATTATGAAACACCAAAATAAGGTCCCCCTGCTTTTCGGAAACTCCCAAACCCTAGACCCTAAACCCTTCATAAAACTCTTATAGATCCCTATAAGGAACCCTTAAAGGATCCCTTTAAGGAACCCTTAAAAGGATGATTTTCGGAAACTCCCTGCTCTGTGCAGGCTATGGAACCCTAGGAGTTAAACCGTTTTTGGGTTGAGGGTTTACTAGGGTGGATGATATAAATCCTGCATTACCTTAAGGGCCCTAAACTTTGGGAATAATGGTGTATTCCTTATTATGGCTCATGCAGGATTTATATCATCAACAGTAGGATGCCCAGTTGTAACCTTATTCCCTTTTTGTAGTCCTAGGTTCCTTATAAAGGTACCCAATACCAAAAAGGGAGGCCGTGTTTATTCCTAGGTTACTGGGCGTCCTAGTTTAGGTTCTGGTAGTTGGTGACTTAAAGACTTTAAGTGCGTTCGGTGTAAGCTGTGCGAGATTCTTGGGCTTCGAGGTTTCGGTATTGAGGTTTCTGTGAAGGAAGGGAGTTTCTGGCTTCTGGGGCTTGGGGCCTGCGTTCGAGGATGGCAATGTCTTTCGCATTTGTCGTTGAAGTCTTGGGGGTGTAAACTCATCATTGGGGTTTAGGGTTTAGGGTAACGGATCCCCCTGCCGCTCGTGGGTTTCACCGTCTGCTTTCAAGTATTCCTGAGCTTTTAGGATGTGGCCATGGGGATACGGCTGATGAATGTAGTGTGGTTGAGGGACTGAGCGATCTATCGTAGCGCTGCAGTTGCTAATCGGACTTGATGTACAAACTCCAGAAATTGCTTGAAACCCAAGGGCGTGAACGTTAAATGCCTTGTCGCGATTTCAGTACCACGACCACGAGACACCAAGCACGACCCCCAGACCTGAAATCAGCGGAAAGGCTTCGGGGCATCGTGCAGTCCACAGGGGAAGATGCAACCACAGTCCCTCGGCCGATTTAGGGCTGTATGACGCCCTTTAATGGGAGTTCCCCAAAATAAGGGACCCCACACAGTAGGATCCTTATGATAAGGACCCCAAAATAAGGTACCCCTAATTTTCGGAAACTCCCAAATCAGGACCACATCCCCCACCCTGACCCAGAACGCGAGACTCTAAAGCCCCAAAAACCTCGCAAGCAGCAATGATGAAATAGATGTTCCAAAAGTAAACTTTGTTCTGTTACTAGGACTCTGGAGTACTCTCACAAATAATACTTTCGCTGTTATTTGTCTCATCATTACGACGAACCCCTGAAGTTTGATCGAGGTCTCATGGAGCCTCTTTGTCCGCACCCCAAAACCTGCGAACCCACGATAACACGCAACAAAAGTGCCTACAAATCCCTTGTAAACCCTGTAAAGCACCGATGCAGCTACTATAAACCCCTACTGTGTGTACCCAGGTGGTTCTACGGCAACGAACCCTCAACCCTAAACCCTAAACCCCTAAACCCCTAAACCCTAAACCCAGGTGGTCCTACGGGAAGGAGCCGGGCCAGGCGGTGGGCAGCGCACGCTCCGAGCCTCTGCTCCGCAAAAGAAAACGGGGAGCGCATTTAGGGCTTAGGGGTTTAGGGTTTAGGGGTTTAGGGTTAGGGGTCTAGGGGTTTAGGGGTTTAGGGTTTCGGGTCACGGGACTCAGTAAGGCTCCATTTAAGGGATATATTGGGGTACTATTAGGCCTCTATAACCCTAATAATGGCCTTGGCTAGTCAGGCCCATGTCCCTATAAGTACGGTGTTTTGTAGTTGGGGGCTGGTGGTTTTTAGGCTTGTGGGTTTCGGAAGAAGACCCTGAACCCTAAGGCCTAATAGTACCCCCAATATATCCCTTAAATGGACCCTTAAGCATTACTAAGTCCCGTGACCCTAAACCCTGAACCCCTGAACCCTAAACCCCTAGACCCCTAGCCCTAAACCCCTAAACTGGGGTATAGAATCTAAGGGGCTCGGGGCTCGCCGTAGGGTACTGTTTCTTTTGCTGTCAGGGTTTTGGTTTGAGGGTCTAGGCACATAGAGGCTTGCTGCTTCTGAGAAACCCTAAACCCTAAACCCCAAAACCCTAAACCCTAAACCCCAAAACCCTAAAACCTCAAAACCCTAAACCCTAAACCCTACGAGGTTTCACTCTAAACTCTTATCCCCAAACGATGGCACGAGCCTTCGAAGCCCAAAAAAACCACGCTCAGAGCTTGGTGCGAACCCTAAACCCAGGTATTCGGAAGATTTCCTTGAAAGATGCCGTTTAAACAGCCCACACCTCGAGCCACCAGATTGCTTCAGGGCTGAAACAGCACTACCTCCAAACTCGCACACAGGAGTTGTCAAGACTGGCAACAGCTTCAGTATGGTGAGCGTTGGAGAAGGAGGTGGGTCTGCTTCAGGGTCAGGAGTCTTACCAGGAACATGCAGGATAAGCCACGGCTACAGTCTGTGCTCTGTCAGAGGACCCGTAGCTTTCTGTGCTAAGATGTTTTGAGGGCTCGTGGGTGCAGGCCCTAGGCCCTAGAACCCTACCTATAGTCTACATGGTAGTTCCTGTTTCGGGTTATCTTATAGGATCTGAAAGATTGGAAAAACCCAAACAGGAACTACCAGGGAGACTGTAGGTGGATCTTAAACCATGCACCATCAACGTCGAACCGCTACACCCAAAGTCAAAACATCCTCGATTCCTCAACCTTCGATCTGGGTACGTACCATAGAAGCCTACATAATTACCAACATTATTCCTTATAGGGCTCTTTATTCTAATGGTGCTATGAAGGAGCCCCAAACCCTTCTCTAATTATTAAGGCCCCTACATTAACCCCAATCGGCTAGAACGCTTCCAAAAAGCTAGTTCAAAGAGAAGTGAAGCGAGCTTTGGGTTTGGAGCTTTCACCTCAGAGGGTTGACTGCCTCTCGCGCGGGTCGGGGTCTCTTTCTTTTGGAGATAACTGGGTTAGAAGTGTAGTGCAGTAATATAGAACCCTTAACGCTATAATTTATGAAGGGCTCTACGATAGACTATGACTATCCCCTAAGGGATAGGGTTTAAGGTTTCGGAAACATGTTACGCTGAAACGTCAGATCTTGGGTTTTCCGTGTAGATCTACGGGTCCATGTAACCCAATAGTATATGGGAGTTTCCGGAAATAGGGTCCCCATTTATAGTACCCTAAATAGTAGGATCCTTATTATAAGGACCCCAAAATAAGGTACCCTTAAATTTCGGAAACACCCATATAATTTGGCCCCAGTGTAAATATATAGGAACTACTATATGGCCAAAGCATATACTTGTTGGGCACATGGACCCTTAGGGTAGTATTTTGTTTGATTGTGTTTGTTGTTTCTGCTGTCCCGGGCAGTGGCGGTTTAGGGTTTAGGGTCTAGGGTTACTAACTTATTGGCTTTGAGGATGGATTGATATTTCTATTGAGCCCCGCCATCCTAAACCCCAAAATCCCAAGGTTCTGGGTTCCTGAATAGTACCCTTTTGCCCCTTTTGTGCTTGGGTTCCCGAAAAAACCAAACATCAGGACCAAAGGGTACCTCTATTATAAAAAAATACTCAGGGGTTCTTGAATCCAAGCTTAGGGTTTGCTGGAACCCTCACGCCCCAGTGAGCCGTTTTCTCAGCGAAGCACCCTAAATCCCATACCCTAAACCCTAAACCTTAAATCCCAGATCCTAAACAGGTGTCCAGCTCCAGCACACAAGGACCTACATGCCCACGGATGCTGCAGCAGAGCTTTCCGGGAGCCTGGCCCTCAGCACAATTTACCTGGGTTTGGAGTACCATACTTGAATCCTTTTTGTTGGTACCTCTTCCTTAAAGGAGCCATTATGAATGAAATAAGAGTCTATATTAGAAGGGGCCCCCACCCTGTAATAGTGGTATAATAGGAATATATTAGGGCCCTAAGAATCCCCAATATAATCCTTATGGTCACTATAACCGGGTGGGGGCAGCTCCTAAAGTCTATACTTTTTTCTCCCTGGTTGCTTCAAAGTGCAGTTTAGGGGCGGGGGAAGCCTCGGGGTTGTGGTGGTTTACTTGGAGGTTCGGGGGTATAGTTATAAGTAGGGTTCATAGGGGTCCTTTAAATAAAGGGATCCATAGGGATTCTATATGTAAGGGTATAGGGTTTAGGGTCAGGAGTAGTTCTAAGTCGGGCTATTATAAGTCCCAAAATAGGGATTATAGCAAAGTTGCCCTACTTATAACGCTACGTATAACTAACCATGAACCTCCAAGTAGGGGTGTAGCGCTTGGGGGTTTAAGGGTTGGAGGTCTAGGGCTTTTGGGGTTAAAGGTTTAGGGTGTCGCACATGTAACCAGCAGTACCCTTATTCCCTTTTTGTAGTCCTAGGTTCCTCATAAAGTTATGCAATACCAAACAGGGAGCTCTTTTTCCTAGGTTACTGGGCATCTTATTTTTGGGTAAGATAACACAGAATTGGGGACTGGCTCAGCGGATGCTCGCGGGTAGGATGTAGGATTCAGTGAGGTTTGTTTGAAGCCCAGAAGAAACCCCGCTTTTGGGGCACCCGACATCCCAAGCATGCAGAGGCTTTCGGGCTCAGGTCGTGCTACCCCTGCATCTTCAGATCCATGAGAATCATTTTCTGCAGGTTACAGCCATTCCCGTGGTGGAACTGTCCATGTTACAGTGGAAGCCGACGAGGTCGTCCCGATGGCTAAGGGTTCACGGTTTAGGGTTTGAGGATCTGAGTGTGTGACATGAGCCGTGAAATGAGCATTGCTTGATGTCGTCCCTAATATAGGGCTTCATCAGAAGCTTCGGAGGGTTGGGGGTGCCCAGTAGTCGGTGCATCTCTTGGCTTAGGATGGAGATACCGATGTACTCCCAGCCCTGAACCCGAAGACCCCAAGCACTATAGACCATCGGAGCACCTCAGGTCGTGGCTATTAATAGAAGGACTTGGCCTGATCTGTGATAAATTCGGTTCGGCGGCGGTGGTTGGTGGTTGGTCATCATAGTATGTAGCGTCGTCGTCGTCGTACACCAGCAGCAGTGGCATTAGCAGGATCAATACGAGTACGAGTATTCGAGCCAACACTGGTAGCCCTACATCCTGAACCCAAAACCTTTAAGCCCCTAAAACCTTAGACCCTGAGCCCTAAACGTCTAAACCCTAAACCCCTAAACCTAAACCCTAAACCCAACATTCTAAACCGCAGAATGCGAAGCCTTCATTCTTGATCCTGCAGGTGGTGCTCCAAAATTCCCAGGCTCGGCAGCAAAGAAGAAACAGCTAGCAATTTAGGGACTACAGGGCTGACTGGTTTGGGTTGGACTCGTGTAGGCTTAATGTAGGTGTACATCTATATGTCAACAGTCAAAGTGCTCAAAGCCGGTAGGATCCTCAATACATGATTGCTTCACCATCGCATTGAGCTCTGTTGCCTTTGTCTGACATGCTATACTTTTCTCCCCTGTCCTACTACGGCTACACAATATACTATATATCACATTACATGTTTCCTATGAACTCGAGGAAACACTGTAATACATACTATACCACATAATATACTACATACTCTACTAATTATATACAATGCTATAAACTTTACTGTCTACTGTACTGTATGCTACCAGTGTCATGTGAAATTCCGCTACGAAGTACATATTAGCTAACATACTACGCATGCAAGCGATGTTTTGTTCTATCATGCTGTGCTGCATATGTTGTTCCGCGGATATACTCTGCAAACATTGTGTTGTTATTGTGTCTCATGCTCCATTAAGTATTTTGTGTTAGACATATGTCATAAAGGGTCATACGATGTATCATCACATCACATACGTTAAGAAAAGCTTGGCTAGATATTATATCATTTTTATCTTAAATAACATCATATCATCTCGCGATACAGTATATGATGTTGAGCATCTTGGTATGTTTCATACTGAGTCTCGACATTTTCATACTGCCCAGTAGTAGGTTAAGACACACCATATTATGTCTTATGATATTTCACTGTATTGTGTCGTATAGAGTGTGTATCTGGTGTTTAATCATCTCATCTTTGCATACTGCATCAAATCAAGATGCTTACGGCACCATGCCAGAGCACACCATATTGCTGTGGAGCACATTATTCTGTCTTATCGTGGCATGTTTAAATTGATACTATACTATATATGATACTATATCAGTTTACAGCAGGATTCGTCACATCTAGCTGTTTTGCCGAAACTAAACTATAGTTGTACATATATATATATATATATATGTAAATACATTTTGTTTGTGTTTGCTTTTGGCCTTGTTTGCTGGGTCACTACGATTGCACCTTCAGAACGCGTCTCCGTCAGCCGCAGCGGCCAAGGATGCTAACCTTGTGGCTACTTAATAATTGGTCGTTGTTGCGGCTGCTTATGCGTGTGCACTGCTTGTTAATTGGCTCTGTGTGCTGCCAATTGACCTTCCTCGTGACTGTTTGTGGCATTTACTGCTGCTCGTACCATCGTGCTCCTAGCTCTCTTCTTCAGTTTCGTTTGCTCAACATCTATAGTTGAACATGCTGGTACATTTTGTGTTGCTGGAGCCCTCAGCGCCATCATTCTGCATTCCGAAGCCCGTGGACCGCGTCCTGAACTGTTTTGACGGAGCACATTCGTGATTGTGTCGGGCTCACCAATGTTGGGCCATAACTGAGAGACCCATAAACCCAAAGTTTCAATCCGGTTTAAATCCTAAGTCCTAAATAAGTATCGACAGTCTTGAAATGTAAGCTTACCTCCAAAGCCTAAACTCAGCACTTCAGGCCTAGAATGTGGCCTCGACGGATTTGCAGTTTATACTCCTAGTCTTCGTAGCTGAGTGAATACACTTTCACACTTTTCGGGATAATCTTACCCACTATAAAACCAAAAGTATACACTGCTTGGGGCTTATGAACTCAGCAACTAAGTAGCAAACAGCATTGGAAGATTCGTGATGGTAGTGACAGCAGGAGTATCCATAGCTGCAACAGGGTTTTGGTTTTAGGGTTGCACTAGTAGTGAGATGACCCAACTCCTTGTTTTGCTTCGATACAAACCGATAATTCATGCAATGGGATGATTGAAGATTCGAAAAATCACGCAGGCGACCTCCTCGCAGAAGTCACCGGCCGGCACTGCATGTCAGAACGGGCAAATCCGCCCGGGGCTGAGCTGGAGAATCCTAGGCCAAGATGCCCAAGTCCTGAATCCTACGCCAAGTTGGAGTCCTCTGCTTCATACGGTTTGTCTTTGTCATAGTTGGGTAACATTTTAGTTTGTTATGGGTACTGACACCCAATAAGGAATAAAGATGTACATGTTTAATCCTATCCCAACAATGAACTAGTTGTAGGCTTTAAGGGTCGGTGTCATAAATCCTTTGCTTAACCCCCAAGGCGATGCATGATCGAGGGTCGAGGGTTGATGAAACGGTCCGGATGCAAACGGTGATGATCACTCTCCTCCTCCTCTGTCCTACCGTCGTTCCATGAACTTTGCTTCTATGCGCTGTTTGAAGGCGCTTGGGTAGCTATACGTCCTTACCTTTTACACGCCATAAACAAATTTGCTGAGGACCGTACTTCCTAAGCTCCACTTGGAGGATCATGGGACTTAGTAGGTAAGGTTATAAGTACCTTATTTGGTTTATAAGTAGATATGTAGTTACCCTAATAATACCCTTAGTTACTAAGTCCCATGATCCTTTAAGTACTTCCTAAGCTCCACGAGTACAGTCAGCACTTTTCGATCCCGTGAGTTGGTGGCTTCTCAATGCAGCCTTTACGTGCCTCTACTTTACATGCAGGCATGGCTCAATTCATCTATGTGGGAGCTTCCGAGAATCAGGGGCACCTTTCAAGAGATCCATAAGTGTTCTATAGAGGGTTTGAGGTTTTGAGTTTCCGAAAATTAGGGGTACCTTGTTTTGGGGTCCTTATAATGGGATCCTACTAGTCAGGGTCCCCTATTTTCGGAAACTCCCAAGTATGAAGCCCAAGAAGGAACTACTATGGGGCCTATGGCTAGAGGATCCTACTAGTTAGGGTCCCCTATTTTAATGGAAACTCCCACCTTGCTGTGGGCTCTTAGGACTTGGGGTTTTGGGGGTCCTTATAAAAGGAGCCTGTTAGTTAGGGTACTATATCAGGGTCCCCTCTTTTCGGAAACTCCCATGTCTTAAAGTTAGGGGTATCTTATTTTGGGGGTCCTTATAAAAGGAGCTCACTACTTAGGGTACTACATTAGGTTTCGCTCCGTTTTCGGAAACTGCCATGGGTTTAGGGCCCCCCGAAGGATCAGACCAGACGTTTTGGGCGTCTACAAGGGTTTGGGGTTTAGGGGTTTAGGGTTTAGGGTGTTTAGGGTTCTAGGGTCTAGGGTTTGGGGTTTAGGGTATAGGGTTTAGGGTATAGGGTTTAGGGATTGAAAATACATCAACGAAACAACTTCTGGGGCGCTGGATCTAGTAGTGGAGATATTTTTTGTGCATGAGCCAGCCCTAGAGCCTAAAACTTAAGCCATATACTGTAATCAGACCTTAATCCGTAAACCTACGCCCCTAAACCCTAAACCGTTACTCATGTTATACAACAACTTGTTTTCAACGTAGTCGAATTACGACACGGAGGTCCCAAATCCCATATACTTTGGCCTTAAAATATTCCCGATGAGTGTAAGTGCTTTGTGGGGACAAAGTGTATACTATTTGGGGTACATGGACTCGTAGGGTAATTGAAGGTGCCCATGGATGTTTAAGGCATTCGGCATAGATACAATCCCTTATCCCTCAGATCCTCAAGCACTTAATTAAACAGCATCTAAAGCTCTGAAGCCCCAGTCACCGAAAGCTTAGCCCTAAACCCTGAGGGTTTAGGGTTTAGGGCCCAACTCCTAAACACTAAGCACAAACTGTCGGCGCAGGCCTCCACAAACAGTTGGGACGGCGCGCGCCGTGCGGGCGCATCGACTGGAGCAATGGCTCCGTGTGGACACCGCTGTCAGAGAAAACGGGATTCCGAGCGTCGACATGGAGCTCTAAGGGCTCTAGGGTTCCTTTAAGGGTTCCTAATTATAAGGGTTACTACAAGGGTTACTATGAGGGTTAACAAAAAGGGTTCTATTAGGGTTTAGGGTTTAAGGGTCGATGTACCCAAGTAGTACATACTTTGGCCCCCCATACTTATATGGGGACTGCTTCAAGGCCAAAGCATGTACTATTTTCGTACCATGGGCCCTTGGCAATCCCCAAACTTCCAAACCCCCATCCCAGAGCCCTGATGATAGTTCAAGGGCTTATGCAGATGAGGGTGAGGAATCATCTCTATCATCATCACCACCATCACCATCACCATCACCATCACCATCACCATCATCACGGTCATGGCCATCATCATCATGCCATAACCGCCAACCACAACATCACAATCCCCACGGTCTTCGGCATCATCCTCAGCTGCAGCACCACCAACACTACCACCTTCTTTTTCCAAGCATCTGGTGCCAGCACGATTCATACTAATGCCTCAAGATGCGATTTTTTCTTGTGTAGATGTCTCTGTGTAATTTCCACACAAAAAAAAGGCTCAAGCTAGCCCAGCGGCCTGACACACGGAGGAGGTTTTTGGGAGACCAAACACCTGAACTCATGGACATACCCATAGGCCCCATGGTAGTTCCTTTTAGGGTTCTATATATGAACCACAAAAAAGAACTACTTTGGGGCCTAGGATAAACTGTCTAGGCAAAGCAGCCTCCTCAGTGATTCACTGCGTAATGTACTGGTCTAGGGTTGAGGCTTTTCAGGATCTTGCGAGACACTGAAGCCTAAACCCTGACTGAACTTGAGGGTTTGTGAGACCTAGGATCGCTACACGGCCTGTCTCTGGTCTCCAGGTACCACAAGGCTCGCAAGAAGGCGGCAAGAGAGGTCAGACAAAAGAAAGTCGTGCGCGGCTACTGACCCCCAGGTCCATGACAAAGCACCTGCAGCCCTGCACCTAAAACCCTGAACCCTGCAAGTTAAGACACCCGAAACCATGATTCAACGCTAAGCACGGCCCACAGCCCCCAATGTTTAGGGTTCCAGTGATTGTGGCGTTTGGCTTTAGGCTTCTGGAAGGATGCTGCCTAAGCCCTGAGTAGGTAAGTACTACGTGCAGACGGAAGTCAGCAAAGTAGTAGTATTGTTATAACATAGTAGTACGCATGCACCTTTGGGGATGTAAAGAGGATAATGGCGGCGGTTTAGGATTTAGGTTTAGGGGTTTAGGGTTTAGGGTAATTGAAGCCCAAACCCCAAAGGTTCAGGAGTTACGGTTTTGAGTCTTGAGGGTCTTACTCTAAGTTCGGAGATCTTGCTACCCATAGGCCCCAAAGTAGTTCCTTTTTGGGATTACCTTATAGGATTCTATATATGAACCCCAAAAAGGAACTACTTTGGGGCCTTTGGCTATAGCATGGCAATTGTGGAGAGGCAGATGTCTCGAGAATGGGGTTCCTAGGGATTCTAGGGGCCTGAATGCCTGGTCATATACATACACAACAGTATGTATATATATATATATATATACACACATAATATGTATATATATATATATATATATATATGTATATGTATGTATGTATATATATATATATATACAAGCATATTACACGTATACATACATGTAGATACATATGTATGTAACTATACATGTATATGTAAACACTCATGTGCATGCATCCATACAGATTCACATACATACATACATGCACAGTTACATACATTCGTTTGTTTAGGGTTTAGGAGTGCGGGGATTCATGGGTTTAGGGTCTAGGTACGTCTTTGTTCAGGGTTGGTTAATGTGTGGTTTGTTCTGGGCGCGGACTTTCAAGAATGTGCCCAAAGGTCTGGACGATAAAGCGCTCTGTTTTGTTTTGAGCCTTCGCGCACCTCATGATAAGAAGGCCTTGTTGATCTTGGGTAGGCCTTGGGTACGGCTTCCACTCAGTAATAGTTGAATAATATTCATAATATAGTTTTTTAGGACCTTAATAGTAGCCCTGGTATAGCCTATTACTGTATGGGGGCAGTACCTAAGGCCGTGCAGGATGCTGTCATAGTCCTAACCAGCGTTTTGTCGAGCCCCGGGTGTCAGTTCCATCGTTCTTACAGAGGGGTTTTTAGGTTGTGGGGTCTGGGTTGACGGTGTGAGGTTGAGGCTTTGGGTCCTTGGCCATTCCTACTTGGAGGTTCATGGGTACTTATAAGTAGGTTTATAAGTAGGGTAGCAATACTGATAACTCATAATAGGGGACTTATAACCCTACTTATAACTACCCCTGAACCTCCAAGTAAACCTTAAACCCTAAACCCACTGCAACTTCGAATCTGAAGATGGTTGCTCGTGCCCTCTGGCCTGGGGTTTCGGGAGTTTCACAGTGTCACCAGACTGCCTGCCCAGAGACGTCCATGAAATCCGTCCCAGTGGACGAAGGGCATGTAGGGAGCACCTGCAAGGATCTCGAAACTGCGGAACCACCCGATAACTTGGGTACGGCCCCCACTCAGTAATAGTTGCATAATATTCATAATATATATATATATATATATAGTAGGACCCTATTATAGACTCTCACTGTATGGGGGCCGTACCTAACCCATAACTATGCTCTTCTTAGGAATCGCTTTTTATTCTTGTTCATATAAACCCAAGAAAACATTAAACATTGCATTTTTCGTATGGTTCTAGGGGGTATGGAGAGCCCTCCACACGTCTTCACGTTCCAGCTTACAGGGTCATTCGGGAAACCCGAGACCCGATTCCTCAACCATAGAGCTTGCAGGCTGGAGTTGCTGTATCGCTGTTACTATACCTTACACTGTAATCTACTATACTCTACTATATTATGTTATTCTATCCTGTATTATGCTAGAGAATGCTGTGCTGTATTGTACCGTACTGCACTGTATATGTACTATGCTGTGCGATGCATGCCATACTATACTATACCATGGTATACTCTACTATACTATACGATACTATACGGTACTATGCTATTACTATACTATACTGTACGGTACGGAGATCCTTGTACTTGTCTGCTCGTGCTCTGCCTCGAAGGGGCAGTAGCACTGTGAACGCACACCCGGTTCAAAGAGAGGAGCTGGATTGAACTG